TAGTTTTGGTGTTACTGGCTTTAACTTTTCGCGATTTTAAGGACAGATGATGCAAACTTTTGTTAAAAATCTTGAAAATAACAACTTAAGTAGTGTTCAGTTTAAAATAAATAACGTTTTAAATCCACAAAGATTTTCATTTTTATTCAAAGTTTCACACTAATGGAATTTAAAGTGACAAAATAATGTATAGATGATTAATAAGGATGGATGAAGAAAGACAGAGTTTTGAACATCGTAAGAAGTTTACAATTTCTTAACAATTTAAAAAGTTTATTCGCTTCATTTACAACCAAAATATGTTCAAAAATATATACATGTACCAATCCAGGCATTTTTTCTAAATGTTCTTTGGAGTTTTTAGGAATCGACATTTTATTTACACCAGTTCTAGAATATGTTATAGAACAGTACGTCTGAAGTTTCTCCTTAACAGCAGTTGGTATTTTTGTAAGAAGTGAGGATAGAGGCTTAGTAAAGCATTTGTTTGTCCTTGTATTGTACATTTTTGTTAAGGTTTTTAAGGAAGTTTAGGAATCCAACATAGGTAAATCAAATTCACTAGGTTGACTAAAATGTTGAAAGTTTTATATTCTGAGGTATAAAATGTGAAATTATTTTGAATGAAAATTTCATCTTTGGAAATAGAATTTGAACTATGAGTACATGTATAATGTTAGTTGGATTTCTGGGAGAACACGTAGTTTAGAAAACGTAATTGTTTGTGTCTTCACTTTTTAATAAGCATGATGTCCATGCAAAATAATGAAAGAAACATTAATTTTGATTATGTTCAAGATATTTTTCATAAATTCATATATTTAGTTGTTTTCTGATAATACGAGTATGTTTATATTATATATATTTTCACACAATTATTTTAAAAACAAGAGAAGTTTCACTTAATCAAATGCATGCGATTCGAACTGGCTAGGCATGAAACATTGTCTTTTGATGAAACAAAATCACACACTGTAATAAAAGTATTCAATATACGAGAAAATAAGTATACTTGAAGGGACTCGCGTAGCTTTAAGATAATAACTGCTGGTGATTATATTAATAAAACTGGCAAAAACAAAAATAATTCATACTGAAAAGGGTAATTAGCTTTTGTTAATTTACAAGAAGTTGGACAAGTGCTGCGGGGCTCTTGGAAGAAGTGTGGTCATTATGTTTCCAGGACACGCCCTCAACTGAATTCAAAAAACACCCATACACATAGTTATTTGCAAGCTGATACTTTTTGGATGCGACAATAACATATTTTATATTACATATTTGCGTGTGAAACAAGGAGTCTATGATTATTATGGCTTTTTTAATTTCCTATTTGCAATACAAAAGCACTGGTCAGGGACAGATTATTTATTTCCTTGTGCAGTTGAGGACAGATTATTTATTTCCAGCACTTTCGACGATTGATTATTTTTTCCCCAAAAAACTATCAGCCCTCCCCTTCAGAATCAAATGATCGTCCCCTTAATAATCATACAAACGGTTGACTGCGATATGTGCAGGAATAGAGAAAATATTTTGATTTTTTTCCATTATTATTCCAAGAAGTGTGGTATATCAGGGGCGCCTCATCAAACCCCACATTTGGGAAGAACACTCGGCCTAGCTTCATCTTCACAATATTAAGGTTTTGTGTTTAATATCGTTCCTCTTCAGATACCATTGACAAAATCGCTATTTAACAGTTTGCCTCTTGGTGTCATATTTCCCAAGGTTAATTGAGTTGTTGTGTGTTGGGCAATCTCTCACCAGAATTCTCACTAAAGGGTGCGCTCCGCAAGTTTCACACGAGAGGTATATATACCAGCGCATCAACGATAGTTGAAAACGTGGGATAATTTGCATAGCGTGCGAAACCCATTGTGCATAAATTATCCCTCGTTTCAAACTGTCGTTGATGCCCTTGGCATACCCAACAAACTAGATAGCCATTCCTTATATTTACATTTATATGTGAAATAATATTGTAATTATGAAAAAAATCTGGTTAAAAGATTTAAATACACTTACCCTTCAAAGTTCATTCCAATAGTCCCGCTTGCTGACGTCAGGCACAAAGACGGCTGTACGAAATCGACATGCATATAACATGTATAAATCTCCTCTTATCTTATCTGTTAATATTTCCATTTGTGTTCCCTGTGATGACTCTTTGAAAGTTAGGTCTGTTAATTTTTTTTATCATTCTTTTCGCCAAGCGAAAAGTCAGGAGCCATGAAGGCGTAATATGCATAATGATCTCGTACGTCTAGCTGTATTTGTGTTTGACGTCAGTGGGCGAAGGCGGTACTTGTGGATATGGGGCTTATTGGACATTTTTTTCACAAATTATATTTATTACACTTATTCATCATGTGTACAATATGAAAAAATCCTCAAAACCCCAAGATACGTCCTCAAAAAAAATACCCCACTATACATTATATATATCTTATAATGTATAGTGGGGTATTTTTTTTGAGGAGCGATTATCTTGGGGTTTTGAGGATTTTTTCATATTGTTCACATGATGAATAAGAGTAATAAATATAATTTGTGAAAAAAATGTCCAATAAGCCCCGGGGTTGAATATCGGGGGGGGGGGGGGGGTCCTGTCCACAAGTACCTGTGGACATGACATACCTCCGTGATTTAAGTCTATTAGACAACATTTTTTAAAACCTAAATTTACAATTTTATTTCACAATGAAATGGAAATATATGGAATCAGACAGTCTAATTCGTTGGGTATATTCCATGGACATCAACGACAGTCAGTTGGAAACGTGTGATAATTTATGCAAATTATCCTAAGTTTTCAGCTCTCGTTGATGCCCTGGCATATCCAACAAACAGGAGAGTGGTTCCTTAAATACAATTATTATATATTAAGTTTTGTCATGTCCCTTTCCCCATTGAAAGAACACTCTTTATTTATATTTTTTACAATTGTTTTCTAGGCGTTGTTGTACCTTAGCGCTTAAATTCTTTCTTGTAACTGGAACATTCTTCACTTTTCTAAATAAAAATGCATTTTGTTTAATGCATTATTTCTTGAGAATTTAAATAAATGTGTAAACAGAATTAAGAAAAAAAAATGACAAATTGTATAAAATTATAATAGAATCAAAGAACCTGATGAAGCATCTCTTTAGGCCTTGTAACACAGAAAAGCAATTCAGTTGTTAGAAATTGGATTAAGTAAATCATTTAATTTTTAAAATCTATATTTGTTTTTTTCATTTTCTTAGTTGATTTTTAATTATGATTCTGTATGTGTGAGCCACAGGCATTTGTATTTACCGTGTGAGCCCCATTTACCACTTTTCGTGAACAAAGTGTGATTATTTTTGGAAATGACGTGTACATTTTCTGTGTAGTGTTGACTTCCGCCAACTCTCACCGTCACCGGTTTTAGGAAAGTACACTCACTACACTGTACAATACAATGACATTTCGGATGTAAAGACTTTTCCTTGAATTTTACTACACTCACATTCTAAACAGAGCCAAACTGTTGATTAACAAAGATGAGGACAAGATCTCGTTATTATCCTCCCCCATGTAAAAGAAGCCTTAAGAAATCAACCATGCAGCTAATTCAAGAAGAAGCTCATAAACTCCACAAAACGGGTAAACAGTTTGAACATGTGAGCAAACTACTCGACGCCTTGGAGAAACGCTACAACTCAGCAAAGAAGAATAAATTCAAATCGTTTCGCTACAGCCTAAGATTACGTCTAGCAGTAGCCGAGGGTGTTCGAAACATTTACCTGGAGTATGCTCGATTAAAACTGGAGGAAATGGCAAGACTAGAGAGAATACTTCATCAGAACGACAGGAATTCATTAGTTGACGAATTAATTGATTTGGAATCATGGAGTGACACTGATGACATGTTTGACTGACTGAAATTGCAAACAAAGTGAAAAATACTGTTCACAAGGTTTTTCAGGGGTTCTCAGGACTTGGATATTGTGTTATATTCTTTCAGACTCCATTTTTGTGTGGATGAAATTATAAAATAGCCTTAAAAGTATCATTAAAATGAAATTAAACTGATATGATTCTATTATTTGCCAAAAAAAAGTATACTGTTGCATACAAGCAAATTAATAAAAGAAATATTTCCTGGGTAAACAGTAGTCCAATCCACACTTTGCAATAGTTATGTCCCTTTGCAGGGACAACCAAAAGATCAAACAGTTTTTCTTTTCGTTATATGGGTAGCCCCATGTTGGGGCAATCATTATACAAGATGCACATAATTTTTCAAGTCAGATGACAAACTTACAAACCAGAAAAGTATAAAGGCTACTGTGAGGATTTAATGGGTTTTTCCCCAATGATGGCGGCCAAGGGACATAATTTTTGAAAAGTGTGGATTCAACTAGTCACCTAGTTTCCAATGCTAAAGTAAGAGGTTTGTCTGTGGTTGTCAAAAATAAAAAAAAAAATGCTCATTTCCCTTTTTAAAATCACCTATTTTGTTTTATACGCCTTTGATTTCTCTCTCTTGATTATGTTTTCATCTGTGCTCAAACAGCTTTATCAATGAGAATTTTATAAGGGCCACACAAGAATTCAGCAACTTAATTATATTGACAAGAGCAGAAAAGAGCATCCAGTTTTCAAAATAGCTTAATCTTGAAAAATCTAAATGCTTTTGTAGAATTGTAAGTTATGTAAATGCTGGGCTGGATAAATGAATATAAAGCTAGAATATCAAGAATATGAAATAATGTGGAACGGAATTGATCATTGTTTGCAAAATAACCGTGAAAGAAATTAAAGTAGTGGAGTATTGGAGATACTTCATTTTTGTTAGTATTACCTATTACCAAGAGGGTAAAAGAAATGGTGGGTAGGATATTTAAAAAATGCAACTGAATATTTGTATATAAAACAATGAGACAAAACTGGATGCAATCCTAAATTTTAAATTATCCAAAATTCTTTATGAGAGGATGTCCAATGGTTTAAAAAAAAAGACAGTACTGGAAAACCTTCATGTTTAATATTTTATTTCTTAACATATGGATTTACTATTGCATAAAACATTCTTTATAAAAGCCAAGTTGTGTTGTCCAATGTCTAGTAATGTATCATTTCATGCTACACTTGGTCCTGACACACTGGTGCATTCATTGTCAGCCTTAATACAGTTTTCTTCAAATAAATAACAAACTCCCAGCTGAGTTTATCACTTGCCACCGAATGTATTTAGTCTTCATCACAATCAGAAGGAGCAAACTGACAGTCAAATTCCTCTTTAGAAATCTGAATAAAACAAGACAATTTTGATCAATACAGTACGACTGATATATAATACAGTACTGATAATATGTAAAAAATTTTCTTTATTACATATCAATACATGTAGGTATATTGAAGAATCAAAAACATTTTTGAAGTGAAGTGGACAAAAATTCATTGGCAAGAAAAATCATTAAGGACTAGTAAAACTTGTATTCTTGGGAGTCATCATGGCTTCCTCAGTTTTTAATCCCTGATACATATTGATTAAGGACATCCCCTCGCCTCTCCCTGTATTTCTCTACATAACATGAGAAAATGAAGATGGCCATCTAAAAAATTCCTACCTTTCCTTTCTTCAATTTCTTCATCAGCTTAACATCATCCTGAAAATCTTCTTCCTCCTCCTCCTCATCCTCCATGTCTTCAGCCTTCCTCTTCCTCGACTTCTCCTTCTGTTCTCTCCTCTTCTTCTTGCGATCCTTCCTCTCCTTCTGTTTGGACCAAGCCTGGGATCTGGGAGGGCGTCGGAACTTTGACGGCTTTGATTCTTCTGACTGAAGCTTCAACTGTCTTTGTTTCTCCCTGTTTTTATCTCTATCACAAAATTAAAATGGAGTCCCATTAGTATAGCATTAATTATATCACGGATATGTCAATATCATATTAATTATTTCATGAAAAAAATATTGTAAATTTGGTCTGATCTTTATAAGCACTGAAAAATTTCTGGACAACTTAAGATATAGCAAATATATTTTACATAAAGGTATTCTTTCATTTTATTTATTAAGAAATGGTTTTATAAATTGAGTTTCCATTGCAATATAAGCATTCTATCATAATAAATCATCAACAGAATAATAAGACTCCTCTGTAGTAATAAACAACTTTTAAAAAATACAATAAAAAAAAAAAACATAAAAAATAAAAAATTGCTTGATTATTGATCATACTTGTAAGCAATACAGTTGAAATCTGCTTCCACTGGTATAAAGTTTGATACATCTTTTCCTTTCAACTCTGGCATCTTAGGAATGCGTAGAAGTCCATATCCAGTGGCCAGTTTACCAAAATCTAAGTCTTTGATTCTAAAGATCAAGCTACATTCATGTTTAGCATAGAACTGTATAAATGATACATATGCCCTCGCTCCCTTTTCCATCAGAGCTCGGTCTTTAAGAGCAAATTTTTGAATTTTGGGCAAATAATTATTCACACTTTCACATGGCTCCAGTCTTTCTAGAAGAACTTTCTGATTGATTTTCAAGAAGTTAATGTATGTATCCTCTGCAGGAAGAAGGAACACCAAAGCATTTCCTGTGTTTCCAATTCTGGCTGTCCGGCCACATCTGTGAACAAAAAAGTTGGCAGATTTTGGGGGATTGTACTGTATGACCCAATTCACTTCCGGAATATCAACACCTCTAGCCATTACATCACTGCAAACCAATATTCCACTTTCTAAGTTTCTGAATTTTGCAAACACTTTGTTTCTCTTATTCTTCATTTTTCCATGGAGACACAAAACCTGCATAAAAAGTAGAGTTACTGGTGTTAAAAAAGCAAAGGAATAATTTGAAGTAACTTGTATTTCATGTAACTGTAATGATTTCGGAATTCTTAGGTTCGACCATGTAGGATTCCTAATTAGTCTCTCTTCATGTTACGTGACATTAATTGTGTATAAATACCGAGACTCCGCAGTGATCAGGGGGAGTTTGTCGGATGCAGCCAAGGTTAGAAGATGAGTATCATGAATAAGGTATTCGCGTATTATATTCCTCGCCTGTTTTACAGCTAGAGAGTGAATTTGGAAGGCCAACTCAGATAAGACCTGCTACGAACTTGGTTGACCTCCAACATAGAGGCTAGCCATAGTTTGTTGTGTCTCGTCTGCATTGGCTGACCAGTCCGTCCAGGCTGCTATACTCATTGTAAGTCCTGAACAAGGCATTCTACAATGAGTGTAGTGGTTGAAAGGCTATATATATACTGTTCGTCCTGAATAAGGCATCCTACAGTATATGCGGTAGTCTGAGGGCGACTGGGCATCTTATCTGAATGTTAGGTTAGGACTCCCCATTTGATTTTGTTGCTTGCCTCCGATTTTTAAAGTGATTTACTGTTGATTTTTATTTACCTAGATAAGGATATGACATATTTGTATATTTCAGCAGTCCACAAAGATTATACCAAATATTTCCAATAATTTAATTTTGAACACCCCAAACCCTGGAAATGATCAGATACGATCCCTTTGAGTTATTGTAAATACGTTACATAACCATCACATAAGTAGAATTTCTGAATTATTGTTTTTATCAAATAATGAAGGGAAAGAATCTTACCTGTGTGTTTTTTAACAAAGTCTGTAACACTTTAGAAAAATAATCCACTCCTGCACATGTACTGAAGAAAATCATTATTTTTTCATTTTTCCTCGCTTGAACAAAATTCATCATCTGATTGAATTTCTGATCACTTTCTACAGTCATATAAAAATTCTTTAATGTTGAGGGTGTTCTCTGGTCAATTTTATCACTGGCTTTTTTCTTTTCCTTCACATTAATACGTACTGGGTTTCTGAGGCCTGCTCTGATAAGGTTTTCTAACTCGTCAGTTTGGGTTGCTGAAAATAAACCTGTCCTTCGTTGCTTGGGTAAGTAACTTAATATGGTGTTGATGCTGGCCTCGAATCCCAAATCCAGAAGCTGGTCTGCTTCATCTAAAACCAAGACTTCCAAACATCTCACACTCGCAGTCAAATTTAATCCATGTTGTGGTTTCTCTAACATGGCTTCAAACTTCCCTGGTGTAGCAATGATGATATTTCCTAGTGAAAAAATTTGAATATTTAACAATTATTTAAATCATGATATGAGTAAGGAAAAAAAAAACCCACAAGGTCAGTTCATTACAGCTTTAACTTATCTAAACATGTTAGCTTTCTTATCATTGTATAAAATGCTAATGAGCATGGAAGCATGTGAAGTTTGTCAGAGGAAATGAACAATCCAAGACTTGATATTTTCACTAAAGTCAAGTAAAACCATTGTAAATGCAGTTCTTTCTTATAAATAAGGACAATAGGAAACCAGGGACCTATATCCTAACGGGATAGGCAACTACCACAAATCTCCTGATATCTAGTAAGTCAAGGGATTTTGTAAGTCAACTTTAATTAATTATATCTCTAATGCTATCGCATATTTTTTGATCAAAACCTTTAATTATCTGTCAAAAAATCATTCAAGATTTGTTTTTAGCAGGGACTATACTCCTTATCTTAGTAATAATTTTGTTTTATTCAAAATCAGCACATGCCCATGATCGGCCGTATTTCCGAGAAATCACAGATTTTGGTCTTTGTTGTCTTAATATTTGAATTATATTATTATTATCCTTTAAATTTTATAAAAAATCAATTCCAATATTTTTTTGGATATGAACATAAAAGAAATAAAACATGTCATATAGCTATAATATTTCATGTCTTTTGATGCACAACTCAAGTGGAATTTTACAAAAGAACATATTTTAAACATATTTTTCACTTTTTTTCACTTCTGGAAATTCCTGCAATTTTCACGCTAAAAAAAAACTTTAGGGTCGGGAGCAAAAAAATAGGGTAGAAAAACTTTTTTATTTTTGGCCTAATCACAAAGTGTTGTGAAAAACTTGTAGTGTTGTGCATGATGTTTTGGGTAAATAAACATGGCGATGAAGGAGTTGCCTATCCCGTTAGTATATACATGTAGGTCCCTGAGGAAACATATAATTTGATGCATTTCATTCACTGCTCTAACTCTGTATTATTACTCACCACCATTAGCCTTAAACTTCTCAGCATCCTTGATGGGATTTTCACCTCCAATGAGAAGTAACGAAGTCAGATCAGAAATATGTTTCAGGAAATGTGACAAAACTTCATTTATCTGTATAGCAAGTTCTCTTGTGGGGGTAATAATGATGGCCCCTACTTCTTTTTTGGACCAGTCGCCTCGTTTCTTCAGAATCTCCAGAATTGGTACTAAAAAAGCCAGAGTTTTACCACTTCCAGTCACTGCCTCGGCTGCCACATCCTTGTTGCTTAAAAATAATGGAATACATGCTGCTTGTACAGGTGTTGGATTTATGAATCCACCATCTCGAAGTGAATGACGGATAAAATCACTTAAAGATACAGGTAAATCATTCCACGTGCTCTCTGTCATTTTTGATGCATTTCAAACAGGATAAGGCTCTAGCCCACTAAATCTAAAACCCAAAATGAAAAAGAAAGTTCTGAAATTAAAAAAATGATTGGTATTTTTAAAATATACTTATGATGAATTAAAACATACTTTCTAAAATTTAGTTGGTTATATGTAAGTGACAATTTTAGATGAGTAAATATTTTTAAAAATTCTTTTCAAATTTAATGATCTTTTCCGGAATTTACATTGCCCTTTCCAACTTTTAGGATATAGACTATTATTACCTCCTCAAACAGAAGATTTCCGCGTTGTTCGAAGATGCGTTTTCAGTTTACAAATACACAATACCTTTGTTGATATTGCACGAGTATTTTCATGTAAATTTTGATATCGTATATCTTTTCTGTTAATTTAATGACTTTATCGATCTTTGATATATTTTGTTTTCAAACTGCGATAAGCACGTGTAATTTGTAACTGCTATATCAACTTTTTCAGTTTTTGTAGCCTTTTGTTTTTATTTTTTAAAGATAATTACGTGGTGTAACAACACAATGACTGACAAGATGGAAACAACACCAAATCCAACAGTTAATGAAGAAATGCCTCCACCTCAGACCAAGGAGGTTTTAAGAAATGATAAAGGTACATTTTTTGAAAAGCTTGTGTAAACCAGGGAGGAATGCAGCAGACCAGACCCTGGGGCCCCTCAATCTCCGGGTGCTATACCAGCTGAGCTATCATGTCTAATCTGACCGTCACATTACTTCTAATGTCATAATTGTTTGGATACACTGGTCATGCACCTTGTGTGTATTCCGGAGGAGTGGATAAAACAATCAGGTCCAGCACAATACCCTGATAAGGCTATATTATAGTATATAGCTTGATAATGCTATATAGCTTTAACAAGGTATTACAAATACCTTGATCAAGGTATTTAATGTAATTAAAATTCAAAAAAATTCTTGAAAAATTAAATACTGAAAGTCGAATTCTCAGTTGTTGTCCATAAATTCACCCATGCATGTAAAGTACTCAAACACAAAAAAATAAGTATAAAAGCATGTTGTGTGACCCACTGAGGAGACGTTATTTTGTGCTGTCTTTTTGATACTAGAGTGCTTTTCATGAAGGAGTGGACACACTGACAAAAACTCAGAACTCGACTCTCAGTATTTAATTTCTAAGAATTTTTTTGAATTTATATTACATAGAATACCTTGATCAAGGTATTTGTAATACCTTGATAAAGCTATATAGCTTTATCAAGCTATTTACCTTAATCTGGGTATTGTGCTGGACCTGACAATTGCTTTACATTATGCTGAATTTTTACCAGTCAATTATCTTGACCAGAATTGACCTTTTTTGAAATTTCATTCAATAATACTTGTAAATGTATGGTCACATATCAGAGCTTTGTTTAGCCCAATGACTTATATGATTCTGAGTATAAAGTCTCGCAAGATCCAATTTGTTGAGGAATTTTACATGCTATGTTTACACTTTTGAAAATTAGAATGCTGCTATTCTTATATGTTGGTCTCAAACACTTATAGTGCTCACAGTTACAAACTGAAAAAAAATAATTTAAAAAGTAAATATCTTACCTTTTTCAGCTGTAGTGGAGATTCTGGATTCTGATTCTGAAAGTGATGACCCCGTGTATAAATTTAGTTTTGACATTGAGGATCTGATAACATCCACATTGAATGAGTTTGGGGATCCAGAGAGAAATGAGGATTCACCAAAAATGACACAAACTCTTAATGACCTCAGTGGACAGATAAGAGGAATTGAAAGTAAGTCTTTTTTTCATTAATTCTCAGATTTTATCACTTGAATGGAAATCATGCTGAAAATGTGTTAAAATTGTGGAGCTTTGTCAGTTGCAAGTAAAATTGTTAAAATCTTATTTGAAGGAAAACAGAAAGAAATTGAGAAGATTTTTAGTAATTGTGAAGAAAGATTGAGAATTTATCAGCAAGAGCTGGAGGAAGCAGATAAAGAAGAAATGTAAGATATTAAACTTTTTCATATTTGAAGAGAGAGAGAGATTCATGTTAAATTTTATAAGATTTTAATTACCAGTTAAAAGTTAATAACTTTTTTATATGCTCTGCAGAGTACTGTAGATCACTATATTTTCACGACTTAGCTATGTGGTATTTATAAGCGAGACAAAATTTTCGTGAGTTGTTTTTTTTTTGTTTTATATAAATATTAATAATACAAATATAAGCAAGAATAAAATTTTAGCAAGCAGACAGACTTGCCTAATTATGCGAAAATAAAGTTCTCGCGAAAAAAAGTGATTTACAGTATTACAAACTCTTTGTGATCACTTTTTCTGTTTTCTTTTCCTTAACAATCTGTCAGTCATTTGTCAAGGTAAAGACAAAAATATAAAAAAAAATGTCTTCATTGAACCAAGACATGTTTAGTAAAAATAATATTATTGAGAGTTATGAAAATAGTTTCAAATTTTTTTTATTGAATGTATATAATGATAAAAATGGAACAGTATATGACCATGTGAGCCAGAAAAAAATTCTTTGAACACAGCATGAAATTGTTGAACTAGCTAAATTGCATATTGAAAACATTAATAATTTTCTTGCTTCTCAGAAGTGACGAAGAATCAAGCATGAGGTAATAAGAAATCTGTTCTCTATTACCCATTTAGGAATGCAAATTAACTATTTTAATTTCAATTAACATTTAAATACACATTACATGCACTCTGTTTTGGAATTGAAGGAATTTGATGATTCATTATCTTTATTCCAATTTTATAGTTAGTAATTGCAAATGAACAAGAAAATTTGATTGCCACAAAACAGTAGTGGGATAAGGGATCTATAATTCAAGATACACATTTCAATGAAATGATAATTGAAAAGTAAAAACTTCATTCAATCAAATACCCAACAAAACCATTTCTAATGATAAGATGGTGGATTGGGAAGACATACAGTGTAATGTTTTTATCCCTCTTTTGCTGCTATACTGTATGACATCTATAAATGTTTTGTAAGGGTTATTGAACTTATTCTACACACGTATATTGAATTCTTTTTCCTCTATCTACATGTATTTTTTGTTTTACTTGGCATGGATTTGTTGGCATGTTTACGAGCTCAGCAGATAGAGCTTAACTAATCCAAAATGTATCAATGTAAAAAAAAAAAAGACATTTACAAACTACGTGTAATTTATAAAAAAATTATTCGTACATTTATTTTACTTTAATAAATATAAATCAGACAAGCTGAAATTATTAAATAAAATGAAGCAAAACCTTTTCTTCTATAATTTTACAGGTTGAAAGAAGTAGCAGCAGAAATGGAGGCAAAAGAGGCAGCGGAAGCCAATGCCAAGAATGAAGAAACGGACTCAGATGACGACGTCCAAATCATTGCTTCTTCTTTTGATCCTGAGGTCTCAGCCAAAAATCAAAGGTATTTATATTCATGTACATGTACCTATATATAAATGCAGGTAAAGTTGAAGCTTGGTTTATCAAAAATTGAGATCTGGAACAATATTGATATTTAAAAGAAATCTCAACCACTTTTTTCTTTATGTATTTTAACTTCAGTATCTAGAATCCATAGATATCTCGGATAAACTTTATTGTGACCCCAAGGAATTACTGTATGTAGAAGCAGTAATTGTATGTAGACTCTTAATTGATTGTAAAATTAATGCTTTTGTTTTAGTCGACTCCAAGTTCTGAAGATTCCACCCCAGCAGAAAAGTACCTCCCCTAGCTTGGCTAATCTGAGACAGGCTCTAACGGGAGCCATCAATGACTCGATCAATCAGCAACAACAGGGCACCACCCAACAGGTACCACCCAGGTTAACTAAGAACAGGGGACCCTGTAATTTTATCTTTAGGGCACCACACAACAGGTAGGACCCTGGTTAACTAAGAACAGGGGGCCCTGTAATTTTAGTTCTAGAGCACCACTAAATAGGTAACATCCAATTATGCCCTAGAAGATAAATATAACACAGTTCACTCTGTAGTTTTATTACCAGTCCTATATAGTTGATTTCTGGAAAACACACATATATATATGTATATTAAGTAGATGTGTTATAGTTGAATTTTAAGGTGAAAATTCAGTTATACTGCTAAAAAACTTTCAATCGCACTTTTGCAGACTTTCTTTTAATTTTTTTTTTCAGCTTTCATCAGCTAAGAGCTCCACAGTACTATCAAGTGCCCAGACTAAGACGGCATATCTTCAGATGGCCATGTAAGTTAACTTGGCTTGTGAGGTTATAAGTCACACTATACATTGTCAAGCAGGGATAACTACATGAAATCTCTTATGTGATTAGATACTGTATTCAGGGTTATTTTTGCCCCATGTTATTTTCACCCTTTCACACTTGTTAACAATTTTCCCCTGTTTTAAGTTCACCTAGTCATAGTTTTGTTTAAGAAATTATACTGTATTCTTTGAATTCATCCCATTTTAAATTCACCCAAATGAAGGTAGGGTGAAAGGGGTGAAAATAAAATGGGGGTGAAAAATTCCTGTATACAGTATGTGCGTCTTTAGATATTTTTTTTGTCACTTGAAATTTCATTATTTTTTTTTCACAACAGGAACATCAAAGAGGGAAGCAAGGTGCTTGGGAAGAAATACAATGATATTTGGTACAAGGGTACTGTAGTGGATATGACTGTGGCCAGGGATTTAGCTTATGTAACTATTACTCCATCATTTTACATTGTTTTATGGCTTTATTATTGAAATACTTCATACTTATTAAATTTATCATGTCACTCATCTGTATAAAATATGTATGTACAGATATTTTTGGTGTAAAAGGCAGTGATGTTATATGAATGGATTAAAAGTTCTTTTTACTACTGTATTTTTATTGCATTTTGTAAAGATTGGCTAATTCTACTCTAGGCCTAGGCTTTCACTTATTTTTAACAGACTGAAAAATTAAAATTAGTAAAATTAATATACAGAAAATTGAAAGAAAACTAGTATTTCATATAAGACCCCCCCCCTCCTTCCTGTGAACATGTTTTAAAAAACAAGGCATTATTGGCAAATATACAGTACATGTACTATCCAGTAAATTCTAAATGACATTGTGTTTGTAGAATACTTATACAGTAAAGTTTGATGGCAAGGGAAGAAAATCCCTGCCAGCTCTGAATATTGCCTTCAAGGAATCCTTGAGTAAACCGGTGTCTGTTGGAACCAGGGTGGTCGGTAAGAGTCGTATTTTTGTCCACATTGGTAAAAATAATACAAGAATCATGCATTTTGAGTTGTTTGATATTAAGATGTTCAATTGTTTACAAATATCTATTCCCAGCCCTCTACAAAGATGAGGAGTCCATGGCTTCGTTTTATGCAGGAATTGTGGCAGAGACTCCCAACCAAAGAAATGCTTACAGGTGGGATAGGACATCCAAATAAAAAAAAAAAAAATCAAAAAACCTTAAACCCAGCTATGATATGTACATGATTAAGGTTTGTTTTTCAGGTATTTAATTTTCTTTGATGTTTTTCAGGTATTTGATTTTCTTTGATGTTTTTCAGGTATTTAATTTTCTTTGATGTTTTTCAGGTATTTGATTTTCTTTGATGATGGATATGCCCAGTATTCCAGGTCAGAGGACATACATAAAGTACTGGCTCAGAGTAAGTGGCTATTTCTCAAAGATGGTTGTCAGACAAAAGAAATTACAAAGTGTAGTGAAAGATTTCACATAAGTTATAAAGCAATGTTATATTACAAAAATTTTCTATATGTCAGTGAAAATGCTGAAATTTACCTTGTACATTTTTCTCTGTGTCCAGGTGCAAATGTTTGGGAGGATATTCATCAAGATTCTCAAGAATTTATCAAAGATTATCTTAAACAGTACCCAGAGGTGAGTGTCAGAAATACCATCTTCCACAAAAAATGACCAGTTTTTAATGATAACACAAAAGTGATCTTCTTTAATTTTTCTTTTTCAGAGACCAATGGTGCGACTAAACAAGGGTCAAACAGTGAGAACAGAATGGAATGGAAAATGGTAAAATTTTAAAGTTTTAAATTAACAAAAACATTCCATATGCTTACACAGTGTGATTTTGCAGTAACATGTATTTTGGGGATTTCTTTGGCAGGTGGACTGCAAAAGTGGAGGAGGTTGATTCAAGTCTGGCCAAGATGTATTTTCTGGCAGATAAAAGAATAGAGTGGATATACAGGGGCTCTACTCGTCTGGAACCTCTCTTCACTGCATTGGTAAAAAAAAGTATCCAAACTGTAACGTTATAAAGAAAAATTAAGTACAGTGTATATCTAGAGGAAAAGGATTTTCTGATACATGTATGAAAAGAATTCTATTAGATTTTTCATGTTCTTATAATATTGTTTTAGTCCAATGCAAACAAGGCCCCTGGTAAAATGAGAAGAACAAATATGCCTTCCAATAAAAAACATGTAGTGGAGTATACACGAGGAAATTCAGAAGATGGAAACTCTCAGGGATCCTCTCAAGGTACTTCAGCAAATAAACAATTTAACTACTGTCTTCATACTGTTAAGAAGTTTATTTTCCAGATTGGTGACATTGTTGCATACCATAGTTTTTAGCTCACCTGAGCCGAAGGCTCAAGTGAGCTTTTCTGATCACGTTTTGTCCGTCGTCCGTCCGTCTGTCCGTCCGTCCGTCTGTAAACTTTTCACATTTTCGACTTCCTCTCAAGAACCAATGGGCCAATTTTAACCAAACTTGGTACAAAACATCCTTGGGTGAAGGGGAGTTTAAATTGTTAAAATGAAGGGCCAAGTCTCCTTACAAGGGGAGATAATCAAGAAAAGACAAAAATAGGGTGGGGTCACTAAAAAATCTTCTTCTCAAGAACCACTGGGCCAGGAAAGCTGAATCTTATGTGGAAGCATCCTTGGGTAGTGTAGATATTAAATTGTTAAAATCATGACCCCCGGGGGTAGGGCGGGGCCAAAATAAGGAATCCAAATTTTACATAGAAATATGTAGAACAAATCTTTAAAAATCTTCTTCTCAAGAACCACTGGGCCAGGAAATCTGACACTTATGTGGAAGCATCCTTGGATAGTGTAGATATTCAATTTTAAAAATCATGACCCCCGGGGGTAGGGCGGGGTCACAATAGGGAATTCAAGTTTTACATGGAAATATTTAGAACAAGTCTTTAAAAATCTTCTTCTCAAAAACCACTGGGCCAAGAAAACTGAAACTTATGTGGAAGCATCCTTGAATAGTGTAGATAATAAATTGTTAAAATCATGACCCCCGGGGGTAGGGCGGGGCCACAATAGGAAATCCAAGTTTTACATAGAAATATATAGAACAAATCTTTAAAAATCTTCTTCTCAAAAACTACTGGGCCTCAAAAGCTGAAACTTATACGGAAGCATCCTTGGGTAGTGTAGACATTATATTGTTAAAATCATGACCCTCGGGGGCAGGGCTTGGCCACAATAGGAAATCCAAGTTTTACATAGAAATATATAGAACAAATCTTTAAAAATCTTCTTCTCAAAAACCACTTGGCCAGGAAAGCTGAAACTTATGTGGAAGCATCCTTGGGTAGTGTAGATATTAAATTGTTAAAATCATGACCCCCGGGGGTAGGGCGGGGCCACAATAGGGAATCCAAGTTTTACATAGAAATAAATAGAACAAATCTTTTAAAATATTCTTCTCAAGAACCACATAGCCAGGAAAGCTGAAACTTATGTGGAAGCATCCTTGGGTAGTGTAGATATTAAGTTATTAAAATCATGACCCCTGGGGGTAGGGCGGGGCCACAATAAGGAATCCAAGTTTTACATAAATATGTAGAACAAATCTTTAAAAATCTTCTTCTCAAGAACCACTGGGCCAGGAAATCTGACACTTATGTGGAAGCATCCTTGGATAGTGTAGATATTCAATTTTAAAAATCATGACCCCCGGGGGTAGGGCGGGGTCACAATAGGGAATTCAAGTTTTACATGGAAATATTTAGAACAAGTCTTTAAAAATCTTCTTCTCAAAAACCACTGGGCCAAGAAAACTGAAACTTATGTGGAAGCATCCTGGGGTAGTGTAGATATTAAATTGTTAAAATCATGACCCCCGGGGGTAGGGCGGCGCCACAATAGGGAATTCAAGTTTTACATAGAAATATTTAGAACAAGTCTTTAAAAATCTTCTTCTCAAAAACCACATGGCCAGGAAAGCTGAAACTTATGTGGAAGCATCCTTGGATAGTGTAGATATTAAATTGTTAAAATCATGACCCCCGGGGGTAGGGCAGGGCCACAATAGGGAATCCAAGTTTTACATAGAAATAAATAGAACAAATCTTTAAAAATCTTCTTCTCAAAAACCACTTGGCCAGGAAAGCTGAAACTTATGTGGAAGCATCCTTGGGTAGTGTAGATATTAAATTGTTAAAATCATGACCCCCGGGGGTAGGGCGGGGCCACAATAGGGAATCCAAGTTTTACATAGAAATAAATAGAACAAATCTTTTAAAATATTCTTCTCAAGAACCACATAGCCAGGAAAGCTGAAACTTATGTGGAAGCATCCTTGGATAGTGTAGATATTAAATTGTTAAAATCATGACCCCCAGGGGGTAGGGCAGGGCCACAATAGGGAGTCCAAGTTTTACATAGAAATAAATAGAACAAATCTTTAAAAATCTTCTTCTCAAAAACCACTTGGCCAGGAAAGCTGAAACTTATGTGGAAGCATCCTTGGGTAGTGTAGATATTAAATTGTTAAAATCATGACCCCCGGGGGTAGGGCGGGGCCACAATAGGGAATCCAAGTTTTACATAGAAATAAATAGAACAAATCTTTTAAAATATTCTTCTCAAGAACCACATAGCCAGGAAAGCTGAAACTTATGTGGAAGCATCCTTGGGTAGTGTAGATATTAAATTGTTAAAATCATGACCCCCGGGGGTAGGGCGGGGCCACAATAGGGAATCCAAGTTTTACATAGAAATAAATAGAACAAGTCTTTAAAAATCTTCTTCTCAAAAACCACATGGCCAGGAAAGCTGAAACTTATGTGGAAGCATCCTTGAATAGTGTAGATATTAAATTATGAAAACCATGACCCCAGGGATAGGGCGGGGCCAAAATAAGGAATCCAAGTTTTACATAGAAATATATAGAACAATATTTAAAAATCTTCTCAAGAACCACATGGCCAGGAAAGCTGAAACTTATGTGGAAGAATCCTTGGGTAGTGTAGGTATTGGATTGTTAAAATCATGACCCCCATGACCCCCGGGGGTAGGGCGGGGCCACAATAGGGAATCCAAGTTTTACATAGAAATATATAGAACAAATCTTTAAAAATCTTCTTCTCAAGAACCACATGGCCAGGAAAGCTGAAAGTTATATGGAAGCATCCTTGGGTAGTGTAGATATTAAATTCTTAAAATCATAAAAGGGAAGGGGGTAGTGGGGCATGATAGGTATAGCAAGAGGGGGAATCTGGTAAGAACTGCATCACCCAAGTTACTCAGGTGAGCGATGTGGCCCATAGGCCTCTCGTTTTTCATGTTTTCTGTGTTCATGTATTTACAATATCTTTTGGAGGTTTGATTTCTGACCTAGGCTAAAGTTTTAACTTGATACTATGTAGAAATACATCTTATATATCCAAAAAGAAAAACAGCTAACATAAAACTCTATCTTAATCAGTTCATTTTGCATCTAAAACATTGCTGCAATAAAAAGAAATATTCCATTCTTGAAAGTCATATGAAAAGGCCACACAGCAGAAAACGACAGGAGTAGTCAATTTCTAGAACATTCAGTATTTTAAAACTGTCTGGTAACATTTCAGTATTAAAAATAACAAAGACTCAGAGCAGTCCCTCACTATCTTCCCTACCGGGGACAAAGACCCCCACCTCCAGTCCTCAGGCCCCGGGGAAAAAGCGGTCAGTGGCCAGGAAGAGCACCACAGGATCCAGCCAATCAAATCAGTCCATTCAGTCCAAGCAGCCATCCAGTGTCCCCAGCCAGGGGACAGGGGCCGGTGAAACTCAGCCCACAAAGTGGGAGGGGCCGTGGCTGAAGTTAAATAAACGCCACTCAGCTAGTGCCTCAGGGGGAGGAGAGAAAAAGTCCAGAGGTAAAAAGAAAGTCATTTAATCACATTTCTGATTACAACAATAAAAATGTATGAAAAGAACATGCAGTAAAAGCCCTTTATCTCAAATGCATTGGTGCCAAATAAAATATCGGGAAATATCTGGGGATTCAAGATATCAAAGTTTTAACATGGTGGGGACTTTCAACTCACACTGACATATCTATGAGATAATGTAATTTGAGACATCAGTGTTCAGAATACCATAGTTACACAATGTTATTCAGTTTAACTGACTGTATATTTAATTGTATCAAAGCATTACCTTTTCTTACATGTACTATTACATTTTAGCATGCAACATGTACATTTGAAGAGAGATGAGTATTAAAATACATATAGCATGTATATATCCACCTAAACCATCAATTGGGTTATATTTAATTAGAGATGTACTCAGCCAGCAGTATTAGCAGTAACAAGACAGGCACGGACATGGCCAGTGTTCTACAAGAAAGGCTGTCCAAAGTGACCAAAGACGAAATCCCAGGTACATGTTAGCTCCAGAAAGCATGGAGTAGAATTTCAGAATGTCATAGAATATATAGACCTGTAGAGATTTTTAATTAAATATTTTTTTTTGTAGTAACTCTTGTAACTGTTTTTTGTGTAGTGACAAATTGTGTTACTATAATTAGAATATATTGTTTGACATTCCTATTTACATATACGTAGCTTAGATTACATAATCTTGTGTTTTGCATGAATACATATTTTATGTGTATATAACTTTGTTTTCTTGATGGATGTATACATGTATATTGAAGCTTGAAAGAGGTTCAAAGATGAAATTGCTCACACAATTAGCTCCAATAATGGGGTTCATAAATATTGAAAAAAAGTTCTCTTTTCAATTATAAAAAATCACTCAAATATGCAGATCAAAATTATATTCAATTTGATATGTTGGATCCTGCTAAGTGGATGTATCATGCCTATATGATCTTTAAACATTGCTGCGTTGTTTCCTGCTTTTAATATGAGCTTCCACCTTATGTATACTCTGTTCAGTTTGTTGTTGATAGGAAAAATAGAAAAATCAAAAAGTACACAGAAAGGTAACATGATGTATTAATTAAATGATTTCGTTTTCTATCTGTTTTATTTTGCCAAATAGCAAAGAAATCTGTTGGTCTGTGCCACAATGTTTTTTTTTTTTTTTTGGTTCATTTTCCTCTTCTTTTATCCTCTCTGAATAATATTTGTGGAATCTATAGGATTTTCTGCTTATTGAGTATTTTTTAGCTTATACTTGTATATGCTGGCAAAGGTTTCATGTTTAGAATATGAGTAGATGTGAATGGTCTGTGTGTTGAAGAGAGAGAGAGAGAGAGAGAGAGAGAAAGATATGAACAACATTGTTTTATATAAGTAAATTTTTTTGTGAAAGGTAAAGAAAACATTTTCATTGTACCTTCAATTCAAAAATATTGTTGAATGGGACATCCTGTATTATTCAATGATTTAAAAATGCTAATTGGGCAATAATTACTTAATTTTATGCATTTATACACACTTTGGACGTTTGATACATTTTTCTCATTTCCTTTTATTCAGATGAAGAGTCTTTAGGAGAGAGATTGGAATCTGCAATACTTGTTAAAGACCAACTCAGGAAAGTTTTTAGTGAGTATTGGAAAAAAAAAAACACTTGCTGTTGGGATCTCTTTTCACCATTTTTGTAAAATTTAGAAAAATGGAGTAGAATATGAATTTGTGAAATGGGCAAAGTTCATGTAAAACTGAAATCATATTGATATATGTAAATGTATGTAAGTGCTGTCTTAATGTAGGATTGATCTTTGAATGTTTGATGTTTAACAGCTAATCATGAATGTGGACCAAACTGTCTGACAGAAGATGACCCACAGAAATACAAGGGAACTAACCCTCTCCTGATTCCACTGCTGTGTGGCTGGGAAAGGTCAAGTATTTATTAGCTCCCCTTTAGCTAAGTACAGAAAAGTTGTAATATCCTCAGAATATATGCCACAAAATTTTCCTTTATAATAAAACATTGTATTTCACATATAGTACATGTATAATATATTTGCAGTTGAAGTGTCATAATATTAATATTTACAAATTTGATATGAAGACTTCGAGTAAATGTATCCTTTCTGAATCAGTGGTCTATAATTTAAAGAATTATTGAAGACACCTCACTATTCATAAATAACTTTAAATATTTGTAGACATGTATGTAAGATAAAGCCTGCCTACAAGAGAATAGTGGTGTACAGAGCCCCTTGTGCCAGGAGGATACGCAATATTAGGGAAGTGGAACTGTTTCTGGCAGTGACTGACAGCAGTCTGACCATCGATCTCTTCTGTTTTGACCCACAACTCCACGTCCACAAAGAGTTTGTACCAGTTAAGGTAATGTCTTCTTTTTCCTTCTGTTGAAATAAAATGGAATTTATTTCACCTTTAATGTTTTTTATTACTGTCCTTAAATGAAAAAGAAATTCTAAATGTGAAACAATAAAAGTTAAAAATAACTTCTTTTAGTTCACATAAAACTATGTCTAATATTTAATAAGCTCTGAACCAATAAAAACATCTAAGGTGAATGAAGAAAATCACATGTATGAAGTTAAATTTAATAGAAATAATATGAATATTGTTTTATTTCATAATATAGAGGTGTATGGTACATCTATTAGTGCTGTGATTCTGTACCCTTTTGTTTGCATATAGTGATATAACATTGTATCCATGCATCTCAGTGTCAAATGGTATATATTATGTACATTGGATCTGAGAGGATTAATCAAAGTTACACATATCATGCATGTAAATTTATATCATACAGCACAGCTTTTAAATTTGAACTCTTCTATTTTAGAGAATGACTTAGTATTCCTAATCCTTTGCTTCATTCCAGACATTCTGTGACATAAAGGACTTATCTTATGGTAAGGAGAACGTGCCAATATCCTGTGTGAATGCTATAGACAGACTGTACCCTGACTATGTAGAGTATTCCAATGTCCGTATCCCAATGAAGGGAGTCAAGCTTAACGTGGACCCCGAGTTCTTAGTCGGATGTGACTGCACTGACAACTGCAGGGTAGGTCTTTGTTTCTTTTTTCATGATGCATCATTCAATACCAGGTTCTTAACATTAAAATATAATTTTTTAATCAAAATTGTCCAATGTATTGTTCTAACATAGTGTAGATTTAAATTTGCAACTATTGGCCCCTAGAGGCAGGATGGAGCCACAATAGGAATCCAAGTTTAAAATGGGGATATATAGGGAAAATCCTTTAAAAATCTTATCAAGAATAGAAAGGCAATGATAAGTCAAATATAAATCACATTCAAATGCAAAAATTCCCAAGTTCTGTGGATTCAAGCTTTCTTTCAATCTGAAATTATGAACCTTTCATTTAGATCTTACGTTTGTATTTACTTCAGGACAAGTCTAAGTGTGCTTGTCAGCAAATGACTGTAGAATCCACAACAGTGGCAGGGGGTAAAATTAATCCAGAGGCTGGCTACGAAAACAGGAGGCTCCAGGAACCTATAGTGACAGGGTGAATACATTTATTATACATTGCATTCATTGAACAGATTAACACTTGTTCCTGTTCAAGATGAAATTGAACTTAATATTAAAGAAAAATTATTTTATTTTAAAATCTATTCAATATTTACATGTAAATTTTGTTGCTGTTTCAGAATATATGAGTGTAATTCCAAGTGTAAATGTGACTGCCGCTGTGTCAATCGTGTGGCCCAGAATCCACTCACCGTCAGACTGCAGGTGTTCAAGACAGAAAAGAGGTAAATCTTAGTGGAGAAATCAGTCAAGTCATAGTGGATAAATCACATGTAAGTAAAACAGAGGAGAGATAAGTCTTAGTAAGAGAGTAAACTCCTTGGATATAGCACACATAAAGAAGAGGTAATGTTTGGTGGATCACATACTTGTACATGCAAGACAGAAAGGTGGTAAATCATTGTGGTTAGAGCACAAAAGAAAGAGAAGAGATGTAAAGTCTTAGTAGGTAAGTCATATAAGTCTTAGTGGATAGATCACATAAACAGAGAAGAGGCAAGTCATAATGGATAGATCACATAAGATAGAGAATCTGAGGTCAGTTTTATTGGATGCATCAAGTGAGACAAAATGTCATTGTGGATAGATCACACACATGTATAACCGAGATAAAGGAAGACACAGGGCAGACTCAACTAGGAGTCTAAGGTTAAGTCTCTTGACCAGAACTAAATTTTGAACAAGTTATTTTATGATGAGATTCAGTTAAGAGTAAGACTGAAATCACTGTAAACCATATTAAGAATGAACAAAATGCATCTTCATTATTTGTAATGTTATTGTTTATACTTTACCTACATGTATATGATTTGTTTTTATTAACAGAGCAATATAAACCATATTAACAATGGACTTACTTCATCTTTATAAAATTATAATTTTATGTTTTCTTTAAGTGTTTGTATTTATTTACAGAGGCTGGGGCTTGAGGTGTTTAGATGACATTCCAGCCGGAGGATTTATCTGTATCTATGCTGGGCAACTGCTGACAGAGCAGGGAGCCAATACAGTCAGTTCACTCATTCATTTATAGAGTGACTTTTCTTGCTTAAAATTTACATTATGTATACTGTAATGATGCTTCCACTGTCTCCATGTCTGTGGAACTAAGGAATAAGATATAGGTGATAATGTGTCCATTATATACACTGTGCTTATATAATCTTTGTTTGTGTGTAAACAGGATGGTCAGCAGTATGGGGATGAGTACCTGGCAGAGCTTGACTATATGGAGGTGGTGGAGGGGTGTAAGGAGGGGTATGAGAGTAACGTGGACCAGGACGAGGGACTGGGGGACAACAGCGAAGAGGAGGAGGAGGAGGAGGAAGAAGAAGAAGAGGAAGAGAGTGAGGAAGAACACCTTGAGAGTGATTCCGACAGGTGAGTGATTCAAACAGGTGAGAGATTCAGACAGGTGAGTGTGATTCAAACAGGTGAGAGTGATTCAGACAGGTGAGAGTGATTCAGACAGGCGAGTGATTTAGACAGATGAGAGTGATTCAGACAGATGAGTAATTCAAACAGGTGAGAGATTCAGACAGGTGAGTAATTCAAACAGGTGAGAGATTCAAACACGTGAGAGATTCAGACAGGTGAGTAATTCAAACAGGTGAGAGATTCAGACAGGTGAGAGTGATTCAGACAGGTGAGTGATTTAGACAGGTGAGAGTGATTCAGACAGGTGAGAGATTTAGACAGGTGAGAGTGATTCAGACAGGTGAGAGATTCAGACAGGCGAGTGATTTAGACAGGTGAGAGTGATTCAGACAGGTGAGAGATTCAGACAGGTGAGAGTGAATCAGACAGGCGAGTGATTTAGACAGGTGAGAGTGATTCAGACAGGCGAGTGATTTAGACAGGTGAGAGTGATTCAGACAGGTGAGAACACCTTGAGAGTGATTCAGACAGGTGAGAGTGAATCAGACAGGCGAGTGATTTAGACAGGTGAGAGTGAATCAGACAGGCGAATGATTTAGACAGGTGAGAGTGATTCAGACAGGCGAGTGATTTAGACAGGTGAGAGTGATTCAGACAGGTGAGTGATTTAGACAGGTGAGAGTGATTCAGACAGGTGAGAACACCTTGAGAGTGATTCAGACAAGTGAGAACACCTTGAGAGTGATTCAGACAAGTGAGAACACCTTGAGAGTGATTCTGACATACCAGTAAATCAGGAATGGGAATTTTTATGGGAATGGGAATTTTATGGGTATTTTTATCTCCATGTTTCCCACACTATCATGCTATAAAGATTTTTTAAAATAGTTATTTCCTGATAGTGTTTATTTATGAAACAAAATTTACATTTTTTACAGTGATTTCGAGGGTAAAATAAGAAGTTCCTCTAATTCCCAGGACAACCCCCATCACACGAGGTATGTCTGTAGTTATTATTTAGTTGATAAATTTTTAGAATGTCTGACCACTGCTTACTGTTTATGTTTGCAGGTATTCATCAGTGAGCAACATTCATGTACTTATTTATTTGATAGACAATACACCTTTAAATGTTTCATGGAAATCAAAAAAGTAATATTTTTATTTCTTTCCAAAAAACCTTATAGGGAAATGAGGAACTTGAGGTAAAAAATCTAGTTGTTCTTCAGCTTTGTGAAATTTTGCTGTATCTAAAAGAAATTGCACTTCAAAACTATTAATATCAAACTTTTTCTAATGTAATGAAAGAAATCATGGCTTTCTACACATTCATTTTTTTTCATGCACTTTGAGTATACATTTTTGTGGCTGCTCTTTAATGTTGCTTTAGCTTCATTTACAAGGCTTTTCCATGATTGTTAAAAAATAAAAAATCTTTACATTCCCTCTCTCTCATAAAACCAGATGATTAGATTAAGTGTTTATTTGCTTCTCAATTATGCTTAAAATCTTTTTTCTATATCTGAAAGACCACAAAATAGCAAGAAATAAGTGTATGATAACAATTATTGAATTTCAAATTTGAAATTACATGTAGCATTTCCAAATGTGGACTAACTTTCATCTTTATGAGCAGATGAAGATACATAAAATTATTTAAAGTGCTTGTTTACACATGTATAATTATTAGGGATGTCAACGAGTACCCGGTTAACCGGGTACTCGATCGAACGTCCGAGTATCGAATACTAAAATCGGTACTCGGTTACTCGGATGTATATTTTTGAATATTTCTTAGCTTATATATAAATGCATTAAACAATATGTTTAAAACGTAAAATGCTCATTGCACTTGTACATACAGTAATTACTATTAGGGTTTCCTTAGCCTCTGAATGACCGTTATCGCCTGTGGCAGTGTTTATACAGTAATTATCGTGACCATGCACTTGTTACCTGGTTTTTCTCACCTTCAGTTGTCTTCTACCCTTATCTTTGGTTTGCTTTAATTATTTGTTTTCACTGATCATCGTTTAAGGTCTATTATGTTTAAATAAATTAGTTAATTTTGTCAATTCTCTGAGAAGCGTAAATTCTCGGGAAAAGAGACAGATGATATTAAACGTGCGATTGTTGATATGGTTGTGTTTGATTACATGCCAATACAAATGGTTCAACATGTTAAAGGCAAAGGCTTTAAAAAAACTGATGTCCATCGTTGCACCAAACTACAAAATGCCGTCCCGTAATACCATCAAATCTCGGATCGAACAAGTGAAACGAAAATCGCAAATCCGCTCTGTTAGGAGAACTTGATCAAGTTCAAATTCATACTGTACGAAGCTCTGACGACTGATGCCTGGATATCAAACCCAACAAACAGTTACATTACAATTACGGAGAGTATTGTTTTTTAACAATAACACTGTGAACCACTTATGATGATTTTATTTCTTGTGTTTATCTGATAAATAAATTGAACTTAAAAAAATTTATATTAAATTTCGTCGGGCATGAAGTGCTCATCAGTGTTACAACAGAAATACATTTACGGGTAAACCTCCTATAAGAGCATGTAGTTTTATTTCTACAAGGGTTTACAATGTTTTACAGTCATGAATTTATACTTGTTCAAATTTATTTACACTTTTACATCATCGATCGGAAAAACGTCCGAGTAACCGAGTATCAAAAATTGACCGATTTGACATCCCTAATAATTATGCATTTTAACTTTATTAAAATATTTTCTTTCAGATAAGCCTTAATGTTTTAAAGACTGAGTTGTACATTTTTAGTGCTTTAAAAATTTACAAGTGCAATTAACATTGTATGAGATATCAGGACAAGTACTGGTCAGAAAGCTGCCAATACACATACACATGTAATCACATTTTTACTTATGCTTGAAACAAATTCTCCATGATTATGCAATATTTATTAATATCCATTGCAGGAAAAATAAGAAAACCAAAATGGGGTATTCCTTATTTAATGTTTCAGTATTGTTTTAAGTTACTTTGTTGTTAGCTCACCTGAGCCGAAGGCTCAAGTGAGCTTTTCTGATCAAAATTTGTCCGTTGTCTGTCGTCGTTGTCGTTGTTGTCGTTGTCGTTGTCGTCGTAAACTTTTCACATTTTCATCTTCTTCTCAAGAACCACTGGGCCAATTTCAACCAAACTTGGCACAAAGTATCCTTGGGTGAAGGGGATTCAAATTTGTTCAAATGAAGGGCCACGCCCTTTTCCAAGGGGAGATAATCATGAATTTGTTAAAAATTAATGGCATTTTTAGAAAATCTTCTTCTCCAGAACCGCTGGGCCAGGAAAGATGAAACTTATGTGGAATCATCCTCAGGTAGTGTGGATTCAAGTTTGTTCAAATCATGACCCCCGGGGCAAGGGTGGGGCCAAAATGGCCGACCCAAGTTTTACACAGGAGTATATAGGAAAATTCTTTAAAAATCTTCTTCTCCAGAACCACTGGGCCAGGAAAGATGAAACTCATGTGGAATCATCCTCAGGTAGAGCAGATTTAAGTTTGTTCAAATCATGACCCCCCGGGCTAGGGTGGGGCCAAAATGGCCGACCCAAGTTTTACATGGGAATATATAGGAAAAATCTTTAAAAATCTTCTTCTCCAGAACCACTGGGCCAGGAAAGATGAAACTCATGTGGAATCATCCTCAGGTAGAGGAGATTTAAATTTGTTCAAATCATGACCCCTGGGGCAAAGGTGGGGCCAAGATGGCCGACCCAAGTTTTACATAGGAATATATAGGAAAAATCTTTAAAAATCTTCTTCTCCAGAACCACTGGGCCAGGAAAGATGAAACTCATGTGGAATCATCCTCAGGTAGTGCAGATTCAAGTTTGTTCAAATCATGACCTTGGGGCTAGGGTGGGGCCAAAATCACCTAAGTTTTACATAGGAATATATAGGAAAAATCTTTAAAAATCTTCTTCTCCAGAACCACTGGGCCAGGAAAGATGAAACTCATGTGGAATCATCCTCTGGTAGAGGAGATTTAAGTTTGTTCAAATCATGACCCCCGGGGCTAGGGTGGGGCCACAATGGCCGACCCAAATTTTACATAGGGATATATAGGGAATCTTTTAAAATCTTCTTTACAAGTACTTCAAAGCTATGATTAGTGATATTTATATGGAATCATCCTCAAGTGTAGATTCTAGTTTGTTCAAATGATGAACGCCTGGAGGGGGGTGGGTGGGAGTAAATTCAAGCCTGATGTGCTCAGGTGAGCGCTGTGGCCCCTGGGCCTCTTGTTTAGAGTTTTGTTGTTCATGTTGGAGATTCCTGCTTTTTTCAAGTCAGAAGTTTAATTTGAAAGCTTTGTTTTATGAACAAATTTAAACTTTCAAATAAATATTTACTACATTTTATGTAGATGGATTTAAAATTGTTAATTAAAGGACATTGTTTTCAAAGATCAATTGGACCAAAATTAAAATGTCAGATGTACATCCAAAAATTCTTCAAGTTTATGTACCCTTACATTTGTTTCTGATTTTGAAGAGACAATCTTGAAGTGTTCATAATTTCTTATACATGTATTCTATCTACAACATCAGTAACATTTAATGGGAATAAGTTGACCAGATTTATTTGATCATTAATATTACATGCTCACATGCACTATTAGGCATAAGAAATAAGAAATAAATCTTACCAAAAAAAAAATTCTCACCCTAATAGTCCTTATGTTTCTGCACATAGCAAATAGCCAAATTAAGTCATGCTTTTCTGTCAATATCTTTCAAATAAGTTGCTAAATTGAATGTACAATATTTTTAGCTCACCTGAGTCAAATTGAGCCTCTCTGATTAAAATTTGTTTGTTATCATTTTTTCAACTTTCTCTTGTTTTTCTCCAGGACCCTTGGCCCAATTTTAAGCAAACATGGAACAAATTATACTTTGGTGATGTGATTGTTTTTTTTTTCAAATGAATAGCCTTACCCCCTTGGATAGGAGATCATTAAGAATTAAGAAACACAAGATAGTGTCAATTAAAACTTTAAGGGGTAAGGAGAAAAATGATATGAGAATATATGAGGAATACATATACTTGCGAACATCATCTGGTTTTGAGGATATAAATTTAAACAGTGGCTCCCAGGGGTTAGGGTGAAGAATTATATGTGAATATGTAAGGAATTAAAATAGAGTAGCTGAAATTACATTGATATGGTTTGGGCTTATTTTGATTTAAACTACGTAAGGTTAAGATTTATGATAAAATTTCACATGTACATAATACATATTTGTATACAGGAAAAGAAAAAAAAATTGAAAAACCTTCTATAGAACAGCGAGGCTTTATTTATATAGAACCATCTCCTTGTTGTGTCATTTTAAATCATGCCCCACAAGGCTAGATTGGGGCCAAAATATTGGTCAAAATTTTTCATGAAAAAAACCCCCAGTGGGACCAAGATGACTCAGATGAGCAGTTAGGCCTATGGGCCTCCTGTTCTTTGCTCTTGTTGCATGAAAGCTTTGCAAAAGATGTTGGGTAATGTTCTGACAAGATAAGAGATTATGTAAAGAGATTTTCGAAGAAGTGCATTTGCAGTTTAACAGTGTTTGGAATATATGAATGTATACACAAAATAAAATTTGGTTTTGCATTAATTAAAATGATCTTTTCATACGTAAAGCAGTTTTATGCATAGTTTCTTAATGGTGATAATTTTTTTAAAATGTTTCAAATTTTATTTACGAAATATTGTTTGTGTAATCAGAACCACATGAAAAACTATTAGAGTTGAGAGTAGGGGCACCAAATCTAAAAATTTGCCTAAGTTAGAATTCCTGTTTAACAGAACAAGGACCAGAAAACAGGGAGGAAGTACAGAAACTAAAGAGGGAACCAGGAAAGAGCCATGTAAACTGGTTCTCAGGCGTGACTCGTCCAGGTCCACAGATCAAGAGGAATGGTAATCATAACTAGGGAAAACTATCTTCTTATTCTGGTATTTATGACCATTAATGCTGATTTAACGGTCGCAAAATAAGTTTTACCATTGTGAAAAACTTATTTCCCAATAAAATTTAAAAATAAAATAAAACTGCTAATTGAAATTAAAAGGTGAAAATAAAATAGTGAAATTAGGGAACAACTATCTTCTAATTTGGTATTTGCGACCGTTAATGCTGATTTGACGGTCGCAAACTGAGTTTTACCGGTAAAATGGATATTTGCAACCGTTAAATCGGCATTAATGATCGCAAATACTAAATTAGAAGATTAGTTATTCCCATTCTAATGCAATCCATACATTTTGTTTGTTGTTTAGGTCTTTTTTTGTTAAGTTTCGTTATATTACGTCATGGAGCATTGTGTTTTTGCGTCGCTCTATTACGACGTCACAATGGAAAGCTTTTACTCTTGTTACATGTAATGCTTGTTTTACTGCTTCAAACATCAGTGCATTAGCCAATCAAAATGTGTTTTACAAAACAATTGCATTAGAATTTAAATTTTCATGTTATATCTTTATCAAAACAAATTCATTCTTATTTTTAAATTTCCCAAACTCTATATAGCACTTTGGTTTGAATTAAATATTTTTTCCTAAGGTCGGTCAAGCTTGGAGCCCCCTCTTCAGGGAACAATTCTCTCTTGAATAACGAGGTCATCCTAATTAATGATGATGAGGATGATGACGAAGAGCAGATTCAGGCAACAAAGATGGAGAAGTCAGTGTGCAATGATTCTGTGGACACGGACTCACTTCCTGATCTAGATGGAGACACTCCCACTCAGAAACCTCCGAAAAACGAGCCCGCCCCAGAAAAAAAAGGTCTGAAACTTCTTGTCTTTAAATTAAATACTAAGGAACAGTAAAAGTTGAATAATTTTGTATTTTTTAGAATCCAAAGAAATTGAGCTCATTGATTTCCTTTAAATGAAGCTATAATTTTTTTTTTCAGTAGTCGATCAGAACCAACCACATGTAACTCAAGCATTCACAGGTAATTATTGCATTCAAATCCAAACTTTTTTTATCTGGACTAAGATTTTTTTCAGTAACTTCTACATCTCAAAAATTTGATGTTAAATTAAATTCCAATTCTTTCTAGCTCGTAGAAGCACTACCTCACGTTTTAAGAACTTGCCTGATCCTAAACGCAAACTCGCAGCTGAAGGACAAAGAGACGAAGGAATTGGTAAGTGTGCAGTAAAATTCATATCTTTTTTGTAATGAAAACTAGGAGGTGGTTCTGTGCCTTTGTATCCTGAGGCAGAGTATTATTGCTTTGCCTTATTAAAAAAATACAAACACAGACTCGCGTCTTGTCAAATGACAAGGCTGATTTAAATCTTCAACCTTTTTATTAGGTCACCTGAGTAAACTCAGATGACCTATTGCTATCTGTTTTCGTCCGTCGTCGTGCGTTAACATTTGAACATTTTCAGCTTCTTCTCTGCAACCACTGAACCAATTTCAATCAAATTTGGCCTATAGCATCTATGGGTGAAGGGGAACAAAAATTGTGAATTTCATGATCCCTGCCCCCCTGGGGCCTGAGGGGTGGGGCCAAAACCACTAAAATTAATGCAATCTTTAAAAATCTTCTTCTTTACTCCTGGACATCAAGCAGTCAAACTGTTTGCATGATTGTAATCAGCAATGAGTCCTCTACCAAAATTGTGAAATTCATGGCCCTGGGGTCAGGGGTTCTAGTGTTAGGGCGGGGCTAAATAAGTAGGTAGTGAAAATGCATTATTTCTTTGAAAATCTTCTTCTCTGCTCCTGGGTATTAAATGAACCAACTAAGCACATAGTTGTGATGAGCAAGAGTGCCACTACCAAAATTGTGAATTTTATGGCCCCAGGGTCAGGGGTTCTGGTGTTAGGACGGGGCTCTATTGATTATATAGTGAAAATACATGAATTCTTTGAAAATCTTCTTCTCTGCTCCTGGGTATTAAATAAACTAACTGACTGCATAGTTATGATGAGCAAGAGTGCCTCTACCAAAATTGTGAATTTTATGGCCCCAGGGTCAGGGGTTCTGGTGTTAGGGTGGGGCTCTATTGATTATATAGTGAAAATACATGAATTCTTTGAAAATCTTCTTCTCTGCTCCTGGGTATTAAATAAACCAACTAAGTACATAGTTATGATGAGCAAGAGTGCCTCTACCAAAATTGTGAATTTTATGGCCCCAGGGTCAGGGGTTCTAGTGTTAGGGCAGGGCTCTATAGATTATATAGTGAAAATACATGAATTCTCTGAAAATCTTCTTCTCTGCTCCTGGGTATTAAATAAACTAACTAAGTGCATAGTTATGATGAGCAAGAGTGCCTCTACCAAAATTGTGAATTTGTTTGGCCCCAGGGTCAGGGGTTCTAGTGTTAGGGCGGGGCTCTATTGATTATATAGTGAAAATACATGAATTCTTTGAAAATCTTCTTCTCTGCTCCTGGGTATTAAATAAACTAACTAAGTGCATAGTTATGATGAGCAAGAGTGCCTCTACCAAAATTGTGAATTTTATGGCCCCAGGGTCAGGGGTTCTGGTGTTAGGGCAGGGCTCTATTGATTATATAGTGAAAATACATTAAATCTTTGAAAATTTTCTTCTCTGCTTCAGGGTATTAAGCAGATGAACTACCTATATAGTTATGCTGGACAAGGGCCCATATCTTCCAGAATTGTGAATTTCAAGGCCCCAGGGTCAGGGGTACCATAGAAGGGGGGGGGGCTGTACTTATATACTGAAAATGAATGAATGGTTTGAAATCTGCTCCTTGGTATTAATCAAATATCAAGACCTAAGGGTCAGGGGTTCATGTGTGGTAGGGGCACTAATGATTATTGCTGAATATTACTGATTAGTTGAAATGCATTTTTTGTTCCCTTACCCTGCATATGGGTATTAAGTAAACAAACTAAACAACTGCTAAGTGTATTGTTATGATGATCAATGGTGCCTCTTTCAAAATTGTGAATGCATAGCATCTGGCTTAAAACATGAATCAAATTCAATCACTGGAAAGTTGTTGCATAATGCTCAGGTGACCTATAAGGCCCATGGGCCTCTTGTTAAAATTTACATTGTACAATTTTACAGGAAGATGTTTTAATCATTTTAAGCAACAGGGTTGATTTTGACAAAATTGAATTTATCTGTACTACCAGTAGGAATTTCAATGAAAAGTTCTGTGTTGTTAAAATGTTAAAATTGGTTAACATGTTTTGATAATACCTCAGAATTAAATTGTTTTAGATGAAGAGCCTGTGCACAGAGCAACTAGACATTATTATCAGGATGGACAAGCCTGCTACATCATGGATGCTAAATCTCAGGGAAATATTGGCCGATATCTTAATGTAAGTTTTACTACCATTTGTCAGCTGTTCTGTTATCTGTGAATAAATTTGACCACAGCTAGTTCATATGTACCTAAAATTAAACATGCAGAGATTTGATTGATTTCTTTTTTGCATTACAGTTTGTATATTTTATTTTAATATATCCCTTTTCAGCATAGTTGTAACCCCAATGTCTTTGTACAAAATGTGTTTGTGGATACGCATGATCTCCGGTTTCCATGGGTTGCATTTTTC